TTGCGCTGAACCCTGAGATGTTTCAGAGTCTGGCAGCGTCTGTAATTGCGGGGTGCTGACCGGCACTGTTGGCGCATTTCGTGGGGGTGTCTCTAGTTTTCAAACATGAGCTGGTTTCATGATATTCACCGCACTTTACGCATCGCGGTCGATGGTTGCAATAAGTTTTAGTGTGCCCATATTGCTGGGACCGAACACACTGAGGAATATTTCTCTTTTGACGCGGTTCCTCAATTTTAATATGTGAATAATAAAGAAATTCAATACTAAAAATTTTTTCTCTAAATTTTTTTTTTGTAATGTCCACAAAGAACATAGGAAGGGGTTTTTTCAATCTATATATGACGTTAACGGATATTCTGGGTACACAGTGACACCTTTTAATGCAAACTTAGTTTTAAACATATTAATACCCGTTTCGTTTTCTAGAAATGTGATTAGTGCATGGTAATTTTCAACACCGTTTATAAATATTGGTGGAGTTTTATTGTTTTGAGGCGCTCTTCTAACTTCTTCTGTTTGTAAGTTAGTAATATTGGTTAGAACCTGAAAACTGTTCGAGGTTGGGATACATTCTGTCGGTCTTTTTTGAGCTCTTGGCTCGCTCGAATCTATCATAGGTCTTTTACGACCAATAACCAGTTCCCAGGAGCCGTCTTCATTGTTTATATCTCTGTTTTTAAAGACCATGTTACTTACCTCTGTTTGAGATGATTCCACCATTGTTGACGGTGAAATCCGCTCAATCTTTGTTTGGTGTTTTGTCCTTAGCAGTCTTGTCTTGATAAAACACTTTTGTTACACAAAAATTAAGTATTTACACTTAATTAACACTTTTTTGGAAGACAAAACTAAATTAACCTTTCACCTTATTTAACCGAACAACGAACTTAAAAGACATATTGAAAAATTCAAAAGCACAAACTACGACAATTTTATTAACAACCTTTCGACAGACGATGGAAGTTTAGGGAGACAAACAAGAAATCTTATTAAAGTATGGCATCAGGGGCTTCTCTTCAAAATTAAGACCATACTTTCACTAACCTAGTATTTAATTCTTCATTTCTTTCTCTCAGACAGATTTTTCTCCGTTCGACACGGTTCAGGTCTATCCTCAATTCGACCTATTTTAGCTGGCGTACCTCAGTGATCAATCTTAGCCCCATTAATGTACATAACATACACACATGACATTCCTCAAAGTATCCACACACTTACAGCAACCTACGCAGACGACACTGCTATCATTACCAGGCACGACAATCCTTCACAGGCATCACTTAACCTGCAACATCACTTACAAAAAATAAAAGATTGGTGTAAACTATGGAAAAAAAAAATTATCAAAAGTTACAACACAACACATTTACTCTAAGACTAGAAACATGCCCTGATGTATACTTGACAACAAACCGATTCCACAAACAGATACAATACCTAGACAATACACAAACAGATACAATACACAAACAGGAGTACAATACCTAGGCCTGATGTTTGACAGAAGAATGACATGGGGTTCACATGTAGAGAAAAAACGTGCATCATTAAATCACAGATTAAAACTATTGCACTTATTATAAAGACGACATTCTAGATTGTAAGCAAGACAGCAATTAAATATTTATACAAATCTATTGAAACCTCTCTGGACTTACGGACTACAAATATATGTAATTGCAAAACTAATACACATAAAACGTCTTCAAACTTTTCAGTCTATGATACTACGACTAATTCAATCCAACGACTAATCCAAGCACCCTGGTACGTGAATAACAACACTTTACACACTGAGTTACACATGCCAACGATCAATGAACACATACGAACTTACTACAAACGATTTCATAATAAATTACATGGATACTCCAACCAGCTAATTAAAGAAATGGCCACTACTATTATGCCGGAGAACTCTAGAAGACGACTGAAAAGGGTCTGGATGAGGGAGGGACCTATTTACGTAATTATATGTAAAAAAGTAACCATGAAAAGGATGCCGCTGGGTATTACTTTTTCTCATGCATATCAAGCCTTTTTATTTATTTTCTTATGACTGTGCCAGCACATCTGCTGATTGTCGATAGTTGTAGTTGACAGGTGCGTATAAATAAATGTAAGTGCAAAAAAAAAAAAAAAAAAAGTGGAATATCGTTTAATAAACCTTGTAAATGTATGCATCATTCACATGATATTAGATATCCGTCTCTATCCCATTTCACAGCTGTTAGTACCAATGGTCGTATTTAAAAATTGATTATTTCTGTATGATTTATTAGTATAATTTCATATTCACCTCTGCTATTTTACATAGTAGTGTAAAACTTCTTGAAGATTGCAGATTTCAAATTTCACATTTAGCACAAATAGCAAAATCTTGGAAAATTGTCACATTCGGCCTTTTGCACTAACAGTGGTGTTATGGGACATTAATAACAATTATTTATGTATTATTACTCAATATGTTAACGCCACAGCGTTAATTTATTTTATTTTTACAGTTAAAAACGCCACAGCGTTAATTAATTTTATTTTACACTTAAGTAGTTTGATTAATTGTTGATTTGTTTTATTGTAGCAAAGTGAAATCAATTAATAATATGTATATTTATGTATAAAATATGTCTATATTAAGTATTATAGGCCCATAGCTTATATTGTTAACATTTAATAGATCAATAGTTTATACTTGGACTACTTTGTTATGGATTGTAGCACTAGCTATAAAGAAGTGCTCGGTTCAAGTCATAACTTATTGATGACTCATAAGGCTGTAGAATTGACAATAGAAAGTCTAACTCCGTCCGCCACTGATAGCCCGGAGCCAGGGCCCAAAAATCGACCTGATCGCAGGCGAAGGTTTGATTGTAAATTACGAAAGTGTATGTTATTCTGAGTAAAAAAAAACTTGTCTGCCGTTCCGGAGCCGCTGCTTTCAAAAATGGAGGCTGATTTAAAGAATATTAGGCAATAATTTGAGGATCGAAACTAGAAATCCATTGCGAAATATGTGAGAAAGTTTCTATTTTTTTAACTTGTATATATGGCTTTAGGCATGTAAAAAACAAAATTGCTAACGCAGGCCACCAAGGCAAACTTTTTACAGCCAAAAAAGTCAGATTTTTTCGATATATTTTGGGTTTTTCATCTATAACTCCTAAACGATGCATCAAAGCGAAAAATGTATTCTTTAATATATTAAAGAACGTTAAATTTTGCGTCAAATGAGTACATGAACTTTAAAATTTAGTTACGCGGTAAGGTATAAAACCACGGTCAACCAACATTGAGTTTTACCAAATTTGTCAAAAACTGAGACAAATTACTATAAATGGCCCTGTAACTTGGAAATGAGTTCCCTAAGCGGAAAAACCCATTAGAATCAAAGTTGTCTATCATCAAATTTCTCGTATACTCAGTAGCAACTAATTTAATGTAGGTCACTTGATGCGAACAAAATCGATAATCTCCGGATGGTTAGAAATTGGTAATGAAGGTATACGTGATTTTCTATATTTCAACAGTATGGGTGTCTATTCTATTGAGTTAGTTTTGTTTAAAGTCTGTTACATGAAGTATAAGCCTCATTTCCACCTATCAACAGCAAAAGATTTTGGTAAACGATGTGCCGAAAGATACCGAATTTTATTAAGAAATAACGAATCCCGATTCGAGATATATAATTGGCCAACAATAAAAATGACAGTACTCAGTATACGCAAAATTTGATGCACTACAATTTTGATTCTATGAATTTTTCCTTTAGGGAACTCATTTCGAAGTTACAGTGCCATTTATAGTAATTTGTCTCAGTTTTTGACAAATTTGGTAAAACTCAACGTTGGTTGACCGTGGTTTTATACCTTCCCGCGTAACCAATTTTTAATGTTAATGTACTCGTTTGAATCGTTGTATGTATATATATTTTAATGTCATTTTAGTTTAGCCTAAAAGATGGCGTAACGTCCGGAAGGTTGTCATGTTAACAGAAAAATCTGGTGCGCTCAACACACAACTTTCACTTACCGATCTACTTTCAATAGAAATTATTTTCTGGCAATGCTGGGCTATTATGAAATTTTTTGAAGTGCATTTTAAACGGAGCTAAAGCTTAAAGCTCACAGATAACAAGTCATTAAGACCATTATAATTACAAAACCATTGTAATTACAGGCTCTCAGAGAAGGTTCTTAGGTCTCAACAATTAAAAAAATATTTTATTTTCACCTCTTCAGGGAAAAAAACTAGAGAGCATATCTTTCCTCCTAATGATTTTTTTTTTTTTTGTTTTTTTAGGAAATTTCATATACAATATCGACAAAAAAGTGTATACTTATTGAGTTATTCGGAATTTAATTTTAACATCCCTCGTAACTTTTTTTCCAGCTTCTTTTCGTTGAAGTATGCTATATAGATAGATTTAAAGGGTATCGAGAAAATGACTTTAGCGAAGTTTCATTGAAATCGGTACATTCGTTTAGGTGCTACAGTCTGTAGGAACGCAGGTTTTTCTGCCTTTTTATTTTTTTTCTCCTTTATTAACTTATCAAATTCTTTCAAAAGTTATATTTTTCAAAAGCATTTTTTCGTAATTCTGAATAATGCGAAATGGTTAACTTTTTAAAATAAACCATATTAAAGTTACTTTACAGGAAGACATATATGAATTGGGCATTTAAGCCGCGTAAAGTGACATCAACGAGGATAAGACCTAAATGATATTAAAGAATACTTAATTATACAATGATAAACCGAGTTTGATCAAAATCGTTAGGGTCGCAATACTTTCGTAGAGTCGCATTTTCACGATCGCAATACTTACCCTTACTATATATTACATATATACGTAAGTGAAAGTAAAAAGATGAATGAATTTATTCATTATGATGGAAAGACAACACAGTCTAAATTATGTTCATAATTTTTTTTACCTTTTTTAACATTTCGTCAATGTTTGTAATTACATGCAACAATCTAAAATACAAGAGATTCAATTCATTAAATATTTAGGCGTTTATTTGGTTTATTTATTTTTTGCCTGTTCCGGAACTGTTAAAGCTTACTTGATAAATTTGGTATAATTTTTTCATTATTACTTATGGGGGTTATTATAAACACCCCATTATTGAAAGGCCACAGCAAAGGATTTCACCAAGAATGAAAATAGGTCGGTCGCAATGAACATCATCTTCAAGGAAATATCTTTGTATGACGATGCAGAGAATGTGGCATATGGTATTCGAAGCTTGATACATGATGAGAAAGCAAACTATAACTATAGCATTGATTAGCAGATACCAATTCCAATCTTCAGTCGGGATAGGACTGTAGAAGGTGTCAACCACTGGTGGGATGAGGGCCGGTATCGCCACGCCCCAATAGCTGTGCTGGTATAACGTTCCTGCTGTCACCAACGGTGTCAAAAATCTCAGTGCTATTCGATCTGATTTAGCCAGCAGTTTAACTAATTTGGGCGGGTGGTGATTAACTGAAAAAAAAAGTATACATCATTGGGGAAATGTAAATTAGATACTTATGAAGGAGTTAGTAATAAGGTAATAACAATTGTTAATATTTTAAAATTCCAGATTTTTACGAAGGTTTATGATTAAAAACATTTTAGTAACACAATAATAACAAAACAAGAAATCTTCTTTTTTAATTTAAAAAAAAAAAGAATATGAAGAGAAGGATGGTTGGGGTGATCAGTCAGAAATAAGAAGGCAAAAATAAATAATAATATTTATTTTAACATTTGCCGACGTTTCGATCTGATGTTCAGACCTTCATCAGGGCTAAGAAAAGAACCAGATAACATGGTGTGAGAAACATGAATAATGTTGGTAAAAAAAAATAAAGTAAAATGAAGTGGGTAGAATAATGACAACAGTAAGAACTAAATAATTTTGAGGTCTGGTTCGTTGATGAGTAGTAAGACGGTTGTTATATGGTCGTTGGCCCCGTGTAGATAGATTCATAATAGTGAGTTAATGTTTGACTGTCGTGAATGGTTGAAGAGAAGGATGGTTGGAGCGATCAGTCAGAAATGAGTATTATGAATCCACTTATGAATCTATCTATCTACACGGGACCAACGACCAGGTACAACCGTCTTACTACTCATCACCGAACCAGACCTCAAAATCTCTTAAATCTTACTATTGTCATTATTCTACCCACTTCATTTTACTTTAATTTTTTTACCTACATTATTTATGTTTCTCATACCATGTTATGTTATGAAGGCCTGAACATCAGGTCGAAACGTCGGCAAATGTTAAAATAAATATTATAATTTATTTTTGCCTTTTTATAACTCAAGACAATACTCCCACCTACATATTATTTAATTTTACAATCCTTCCTTTCCGATAGATCTTTCTCGGTCCGACACGGGTCAGAGTTATCTTTCATCAGGTCTATCTCAGCAGGAGTACCTCAAGGTTCAGTACTCGCTCCACTACTCAATATCACATACACCCATGACATACCCTGCAGTCCCCACATTTTAACAGCGACATATGCAGACGACACAGCAATTTTAGCAATACATAAAAATCCAATATATGCCTCACATACCCTACAACAGTATTTAACAAGATTACATGACTGGTTCAAAATTTGGAAAATCCGACTAAATCAAGATAAGTCACATTTACGCTTCGACATGAAACATGCCCTCCAGTTTTCCTTGACAACACACATATTCCACAGAAAGACACTGTTCACTACCTTGGTCTGACATTTGACAGAAAAATGACGTGGGGCCCACATATAATAAAGAAACGAAAAACGCTAAATCAAAGGTTAAGAATTCTGAGTTCACTTCTTTCGAAAAAATTCAAAACTAAAACATAGACAGAAATTGAACACGTACAATTACTTACTAAAACCTATTTGGACTTACGCATCACAGATATTTGGAACTGCTAAAAAGACTCACTTAAACAACCTTCAAATCTTTCAAGCAAATGTTTCAGAACAATTACAAAAGCACCTTGGTACGTTAGCAACATAACTTTACATACTGACCTCCATATGCCGACTGTTAACGAACACATACGAACTCATTACAAGCGATTCCATGACAACTTACAAGGACATCCTAATACACTTATAAATGACATGGCCACTACGAATATGCCAGGTAACGTCTGTAGGAGACTGAAGAGGAGCTGGATGAGGGACCTCCTCGCCTAATGTAGATATCACGCCGAGTGAGGTGCCGCTGGGCACTGATCCTCCTCATGCCTTTCATGACATTATATTTTGCAATCGACCTCACATTTACTGGTTGTCATTACCATTATGACAGGTGTGAATAAAAAATTAAAGCTAAAAAAAAAAAATCTTCAAATGCATCGGCACATTTATTAATGTGATTTCCTAACATCTCAAGTTTTCATTTTTTGAGTTTACTTCCGTTGAGCTTGTCAGTAGAGGTTGCCCCAGCATCAATGTATGCATTTAAGCCTGTTCTGCAATGATAACTACATTTCCCGACTTATTTTTTTATTAAAATTTATTGGTCCGCATTCGGAAAGTTTAAAATAGAGGTGGGGTTCTCAGTTTTGTGAGTATCTTATGTCTCTGAGTTGAGAAATTCTCCGTTTGTTCATATCATAATTAGCTACCATTTATCTGTAAATTATTCAACAAGGAACTCCAACTACTTTCTATTTTCAACTTAAATTAAAAATAGAAAGTGCATTTTGATTTAATAAGTCTGTCTTTTAGTATTGTTTCCCTTCAATAAATAATTCTTATACTAAAGATTGCATCACGTAATCAGAATTCGAATCGCTAATGCCGCAAATGATCCACTTTTGAAACCAACAAGCACGTCAGACGAAAGCTAAGTTTAACATATTTCCAATTTTTTTTAATGTAAACGGGTTTCATCACTTAATAGAGCGATAAAAATTCTTTCGAAATCGACTAACAACTCAATTTTAAATGTGGTGACAGATGTCACACAGAGCTTTGATATGAGGCCATTCATATATATTTTTAATTTTAGAAAAAAGTAGAAACCAACTCATAAGTATCATATTTACGCTGGTTTAATTCTGTTCCATTCTCAGGAATCGATTAAATCATTATTTTGCCAAAAGTTTAATAAAATGCCATATTGTATCCATGATAGTATTATGGATTATGATCACGTATTATGAAGCTATTAAAGCACAGAGATTGTAACATGAAACTTCTGTGATGGATTAAACTGAGTTTTTATGAGGCATATATTTCTTAGGTTAGCAGTGTTTATAGGAAAACCAAGTGACCTAGACGTTTTTAGTTAAACGGTGTATACTTTGATCAGATTGAGTTTGCAGTAAACGTATCTATACAGAAATATTTTGATTTGATTTTTTTTTTTTTTTATGCCTCCATTTTGGTATAAATGACAGTAATTTATTTGACTATTTGCCAATCTTTATTAAATTATCTAAAGCAATGAGATCTTTAAGTTTTCTTATACCATAAATTAATTTTAACTGAATATTTATTTCGAATTTATTTTTTATATCATTTCAACATTTATTTTATGTTTGCATTTTATTGCTTCTTCACTACCGAAGGTAGGAAAACATTGTATTGATGCGAGAGACTAAAAAAAATTGTGTGCTCAGAACCGAAAATTTCATCTCGCGTTTTATGTTTCAGACATCAAAGATCAAATTTGGTCCAGTGTCTGTCTGTCTGTAGTCAAATCAATGTAACGGGCACATGATCTACTACCGTTCATCCGATTTTCAGGTATTGTGCGGGTTGGAGTCTATATGGTCTCATTAAATTCTAAGCACTTCCGCTTACGCACGCGCTAACGCATTTTTTGTTGATATGCCAATATTTCAGAAATGGCTCGTTCGATTTGGCATAAAATTAAATAAGAGATAGATATTTGTAAAAAAATAATGTTGGGTCAATTTTATTGAATTCTTTCCGTTACTTTCTCATATATATGCGCAAACGTATTTTGTTTTGTTTTTTAAATTTAATATTTTGTTTAAAACAATTTTCATCCTATCCTTCACCCACGATCCTTTTTCTCGACATTCTACTTCCCAAATCTTCAGTTATGACTATCCTGAATTCCAGTCACATCGATGCACAATCCTTTATTGCACACTGTGACGAATTCCAAAATATTTTCTTATTTTGAATTCCAAAAGTTTTTATCGCATAACAGCAGCATTTGAAAACTGGCTAAAACCTTTTACCCCTTCCTCTCAGATTTCCCTAACCAATTACTCGTTCCTACCCCACGACAGATCTGATCGAAGGGGAGGTGATGTCATATTATATTCCATCACAGTCTTAAGGCCAAAATCCTCCTACATTCTCATTCTCATGTCTTTCTTCACATAGAATACATATGTTCATTGAAATTTTCTCTATTTCATCTCCTCTGTTATTTGCCGTAGTTTACTTCTCCCCTCGTGTTACATTTTTTTAGAACTTGTTTATTAAGAAATGTTACAGTCTGACATTTATAATAGTGTTTAGTGAGCACATTCACACTCTCTGTAAAATAAACAAAAATATATTAAACATTATGTAATAATAATAAATAATATTACTAAAACTAAATGTATCTGAAAAAAAACTACTAAACTAATCAAAATAACAACTTAATGACAAACATACTTGAACACAATATTTATAGAATTTATTCATTCTGGAAAACTCCGAACTACTCCTTCCTTCCACTCGTGAAAGGAAAGGCAGGACTCCAGGAGATCCCAGCCCCTCTCACTCAGCTATATTACTGGTATTGAGAACCAGAGGAGGCTGAGCAGAGGCGCTATAAACTATGACATACATGGCCATTGCTAGAACTCCATTATATGCTTAGGTACAACAGGGCCACTGTCGCTTCAAACTTTGAGGAGGTATTGTAGGGTTGGGTTTGTATGAGATGTAAGGTTTCCATGGAATTTGGAAAAAATTTCTGGAGAGATTAGGGATAAGGTCAAGAACAAATGAGATATTACGGTCATGGTGTAAGGTTCTGTTGGTTACATAGAATGGAGTTGGTTTACATAATAATATAATATATACTTATTTTGTAAGTAAGATTTTTTATTTCCACATAGTTGTTCTTGAGGGCCGTTTTGAATTTTAATTTTTTTTTCTTGATTTTGAACTGGTTTACAATTATAAACGAATATTTTGAACAAAATAAATGATCGAACATTCATCTAGGATAACCATTTCCCCCAAACAATTGTAACTATCAATTGTCCCACAGGTTGTGGTTGTAGGGGATTTTGGAGCTGATGACAGAGGTTCCTGAAGACTATCCATTTGGATTTAGGATTAGATTATTGGGATAATACATTGCTAAATTATAACGCTTTGGCGCGGTGTAAAGATATTCGTCTGCTGTTTCGTAGAAATTTGAAGATTGTATGGTATTGGGGCAATCGTGTACGTCTGCATACTCTTCTGGCAGCCTCTCTACTTCTCATCAACTCTCACCAATGTATTTATTTTAATAAGCTTAGATTTTTTGCTTTTAAATATATTGAAAGAATTTTTATAGTAATGTTATATAGTTTATTAAAACGAGAAGAATAAGTTAAATTTAAATAAGAAATTTCCATATAAAGTAATAAAAACACATGTTTTTATTATTTTATATACTACACATGTAGTTTATATTATATTAAAATTGTTTGATGTATAAGTCTCTGAATAAAAACTGATTACTAATCTGTATGTGAAAAGTGGATATACAATTAACAATCTGAAATTTACTATAGTTGGTGACCTTTGTCTATTACGTTTAAATAGAAATGGTTCTTACCAATCTTGATGTACAAACTGGAAGAACTTTTACTGCATACCAGTAACATAAGAAGATAAAGGTAAAATTACCGGCCGAAGCCCAATTTCATCTTAGCGGAATCGTGAAAGAAGGTACTAACTTTAATTATTCAATAGCACAATTAGGCTTAAAGTAGTGGAAAATATTTATGATATAGTACCAACCACCGAACCAAATAAATATTCTGGTGCTAAGAGATGACGTTTAACATTTATTTCATGAAAGTTTAATTTAATGTAAATTAAAACAAACATATAGAATATCAAATCTCATGAAAATAATATTGTTAATTCTAGCTAACTCACATCTTACTGAAGTCAAGACCAACTGGAAAGAAGCTTATCTACACTTGAGACATAGTTGTCTCATGATTTGAATAACGTTCAACTCTTCTAATCGTTCCCGAAATAATGGTCAAAATATAAGTTATAATCCAAAATGTTAATATTGATTTGGCTATGAAACGGAATCGTTGAGTTCTTTCAAATCAAGATGCTAACTCTCATAAATTCTGGGCGATTTTACAGATCTAAATTCACCATTTTCATGGATTGTGAAAGCCAACCATGGAATGAGGAATAGCATTGATACTAGTGATAGACCGCCGTTTTCTGCCGACTCGGAGATAAGATCCGAAGAAGCGGTAATTACTAAAAACAAATTTCCGAGTATGATTAACACTGGAATTATTCGAACTTCAAGTTCTCAATGGACACGCCTTTCGGAATAGTTTCAATGGACAATAGCCAGTGGAAAATATGTGGAGATTATGAAAGATTGAGTGACAGGATGCTACCCGAAAGGTAACGTTTTCCTAGGATAGAGGATGTAAGTCAATTCCTATCAATAAAACAACTTTTTTCCAAATTGAACGTTTTCCAGGCTTAGTAATAAATACCAATCAATGAACAAGACAACTAGCCCTCATTACATGTTTGGATTATGTTTATTCAAGTCTTACAACGGCTCAGTTACCGTGGTCAACGGATAAACATTAAAATGTCAGGATTTGGTGTGGATGATTTAATTAGTCTGGTTACCTTATTTCGCCTAATGGTTACCTTATTGGTACAAGATTTGTTACTGACAGAATACCTGCCATTGTCAACCATAAATTATCAGAAAACGTAAAAGGATTTGATCTCTTACTTATGCATGCTTAACTTCTACCACAGCCATCTACATTATGCTACAGGTAATTTATCTAACCTCACTAATTATCGTGAGGGTGCTGGAACACGATAAAACCATCATTGAATGGATATCCTAAACAATTGATGCTTTTTGTGAGAGTAAACAAGGTATAAGTGATGCAGCCTTATTAACTTATCCTGGTCGATAACTAACAATTTTTGTTGAAGCATCTGATTTAGCTACTGGAGCTGCTCTGCAACAATTGGAAAACAATTTCTGTTAACCTATTTGAGTTTTTCCTGTTCTCTGTTTCCTTAAACTCAGTACAAATACTCTACACATGGTATGCATATTTTATACATGCAAATAGCATGTATTTTGTGCTGAAAGTTAACAGACATATGAAGCCATCACTAAGGAATTTTGCAGCTGAAAGATATGCCACTTTGTAACATGGCAACCCTTACTCCCGGCCATGGTTACTGAAATTTATTTAACAGGTGATTGTCACTAGTCACTTGTTTTTCGTTCTCGCATTGCGTACTTGGTTTGTAGAAGTTGTAATACAGTATCGCGATAGGAAATGCCTAAATAAAATGGCTGAAAAGTGTTAAGAGATGATTTCTATCATAGTGGTGAGATATCATTTAATATTGCAAGTTATTTACAAGAAGTAATATTATTGATACATATTTAAGTATTTTTAACCGTGGGTATTCTCACATTTTCGAACATATATCTTCTATAAATCAAAATAGACAAACAGAGGTCCAATTTATTTGCAACAATAGAAAGCAAAAAATAATAGCTGATTGTATCTGCTGCTAGATTGGAATTCTGTAAATTTGATGTAAGGTCGAATAACTTATTTTGCTAGTTCATTTCATAGGTATATGTATGTACATATTCTATATACATACAAGTATAAATTAAAGGAACAATATTGGCGAAACAGAGAGAAAGTGATCTCGACTAAAAACTTTAATTTATTAAAAAATTTATTTTAAATCAAACTATAATAATAGATTGCAAATATGAACATATGTTTTATAAACCAATTTTTATTTATTTAATTTCTTAACTTATATCTATTTAATTGGGTAACAGTAACGTAAATACTACCATATGTTTTTGTCACCCGTATTGTTTTCAAGGTTAATACGAATATTTATTTAAACTATATGTTGTAACTATATTTACAATAAATTGGAAAATATATACAAATGTTCATGTTATGACAATAATTAAGTGCCTGATATTAATTCATTTATTTTTCAATTAAGAAATCATATAAAGAATAATATATTGTTGTATCTGAATAATCATGAGGGAAAATCTTTATAAAAAGCAGCGGGCACAATTAGTGAAAAGTATATTACGACACTACGTAAGCTTGGTCTAACTTTAATGTGCCTCAACATTTATATTGAGAGTATAAACGAGTATAGGAAAAGTTGAAAGACCATTAAAACTTTTGGAACTTTGAGGACCGTTCCAATTCTTAAGTTTTCGATTATGAATTATAATGTCTCTCAAACCAACAGAATATATAAAATCTATGTGATTTACATATACATTCTAGTTTAATTACAAATATAGTTAAATTGGCGGAATCAAAATCATTGAAAAGATAAAATGCACTGAAGTTGAGAGTGGAAAATACTACAAGGAAAATACGCCTTCGATTCCATGCGCTTTAAAAGCCGCATAATCTTATCACATATTAACGTGTCTACATGAGGTAAATAAGAAATCCTACTTCGATTCCATGCACATAATCTTATCACATATTAACGTGTCTACATGAGGTAAATAAGAAATCCTCCTTCGATTCCATGCACATAATCTTCTCACATATTAACGCGTGTATATGAGGAACATAGGAAATTAAATGGTCTTTCTAATTGAGCATAATGTATTTCTTCGAGAGATTCGAGATTCGAGAGATATAGATTATGAGTTTTTTTGGGCAAACCGACAATAACAGTACATCGTCAGTCAAAATGAATTCTCTTTTAGGGACACATTCTTTACATCACATCAAACACATGCACACATCGCTTAGACGCACACACATAAACTCACACAGACAATTTTTGGGGGACTTTGTTATTTGGACTCAGGCGATCTCAAAATGTGTATTTTAGTTGAAAACTATCGAAAAAAATCACGAGATTCTGTTACTATAGAGGGTGTTTCGTAATTGCACGGCACCCTTTTAGGTATGTGTTCCCTAACACAAAATAAACAAAAAAGTTCATATTAACATATATCTCAAAATCATTTATTAAACAGATATCAAAAGTTAAAGATTTATTATTTATTGACTACAGTAAGACTGACTGTACAAATTTTAGCGTGTTTAATGCTAAATAACGAGTTTTAATCCCCTGATGAACAAATGTACGATAAGCAATGACAGTAGTTGCTCATCTGTTTGTCTAGTTCTGTGTGTTTTAGTGTGAGTGAATACCTTGACACAGTTCAATTTATGATTCCGAAGAGAAGCGCAGTTCGCGCAACATTCGTAGTACTGAATTTTGCATTCAACAAAACGGAGACCCCTTTGAACAGTTACTCTTAATGTTGTAATAATAATAAATAAACAGTAATAATAAATAACAAATCTTTAACTTTTGATATCTGTTTAATTTTTTTTATTGAGTGTTACAACAATCTATCTTTTGGACATTGGTTGTAGTGAGGTGGGATAACATTCACACTATATGTACAAAAAATATAAAATAAATAGAAGCAAAATAATAATCAAAAGTATATACAATAAATAATAAAATAAAATAACTTAAAAATAAGAAAAAACACATGCATACCTACCTATATACAATCAGGCAAGGGAACTCCAGGAGAACACTGCGCTACTCTCTCAACCGCATCGCTGTTACTAAAGCCAGTGGAGATCTGTTTAATAAATGAGTTTGAGATATATGTTATAATAGTGGGCGGGGTGGCCGAATGGGCTAACGCGTTGATATATGACAATTGTGTTATATAAAAAATATGAGTTCGCGTCCCGGTGCCAAGTCGTCTTTTAAATCCCCGCCCACACTGTCTGGCCCGAGAAAACCCCGTATAGCCTTAACGGAGAGGAAGAGGAGAAACAAAAAAAAATGATATATGTTAACATGACTTTTTTTGTTTATTTTAAGTTAGTGAACGCATACCTAAAATGGTGCCATGCAATCACGAAACACCCTGTATATATAGGTAAGTAAAATTATAACAAATGTTGCATCATGGAAAAAAATTAGATAAAAGTCGAAGAAGGAACAAAATGATACTTTTCCGACCCTTACTATGAACCGCGATTATTTCTTAACGGAGGACAAGTGATCAGCAAGAATCCTTTAAAACAAGAAACAACTAAATGTTGTTCAATCTTATTTTCATTAAACAGGGTAAATTTGGCAATAATTTGTCGACACCACCTTCAGTTCCACCTTTCTTCATAATAAGTTTTCAGTTAATCGCCAAAGGAATAAAGTGATACAAACATTTACTGCCTCATACTTCAGTTAGTTTTGCTGTTTTCGAGGTGAGTGAGGTTTTAATGAATCAGAAAACAACGCAATGCATAATGCTTTCTTATTTACTTCACATAGACAATTAAATCAGATGAAAAAAACATTGCATCATAAAATAACTTCACAAAAATAATTAAATAATAATGATAGTAATGGACTTAGTCAGAACATGGTGATATAAATTAAAAACAAATTTTTTCTTATAGTATAATATGTTTTAATTACGTAAAATACTATTTCATTGATAAATACTAAATAATATTACAAATATTATTCTATAAAATGACGTTCAGACTCACTTCTTGTATCCATTTTCAAAGAGCAATGTAAAGCTACAATGAGTTAGAGCTAA